TAGACTTTATAACAAACGGGAGCCTCCCGGAAGATCCACGAGCAACTAGGAGTATTCGATCCAGGGCACCAAGGTATTGCATGATTAGGGGGGTTTTGTTTCGTAGAAGCTTCACACTCCCATACCTCAGATGCCTCAAGCCATCAGAGGCGTCTCGTGCCCTAACTGAAGTCCATGAAGGAGTATGCGGGAACCACCAAGGAGCCCGGTTCCTTGCCTTCAAACTTGTGCGATATAGATACTATTGGCCTACCATGAGGAGAGACGCCCTGGACTATGTTAAGAGATGTGACAAGTGTCAGAGGTTTGGCAACATCATCCATCCCCCCGCTGAGGATCTCACTAACATCAGCATCCCGGCCTCGTTTGAGCAATGGGGTGTAGACATCCTCGGTCCCTTTCCGGTCACAAGGGGGCAACTAAAGTTCGTAGCGGTGGCTGTAGAGTATTTCACTAAGTGGGTGGAGGCTCGGCCTTTAGCAACAATTTCAGAGCCTAAGTTAAGAACTTTCGTTTGGAGGTCCATCATACGTAGGTTCAGGATACCGAAAGTCCTCATAACTGATAATGGCAAACAGTTTGACAATGCACAATTTAAAAACTTCTGTTCCAACCTAGGGGTTGATCACCGTTTGACATCAGTTTCCCATCCTCAAAGTAATGGTCTTGCCGAAGTGACCAATCGAATTATATTTCAGGACCTCCGTACAAGGATTGGAGATGTAAGAGGTTCCTAGTCTGACGAGTTACCTTCTATACTTTAGACATTTAGAACGTCCCATAGAACCGCTACAGGGGAAATCCCCTTCATGTTGGCTTTTGGTATTGAGACCACCATCCCTGTTGAAATAAGGTTGCCCATCCAAAGAAGACTTGAGCCCGAAGATGCAAGACACACCACTGAACAACTCGACCTCTTGGAAGTGGTTCATGATCAGGCAACTTTAAGAATGGCCTCTTACCAAGATAAAACAGCATAAGTATTTCAATAAAAAAAGTTAGGACATGGAGATTCAGAGCCAGAGACCTTGTGTTAAGAAGGGCCGAAGCAACAGGTCATGCCTCGGGAAAGTTAGGACCAGTTTGGGAAGGGCCCTTCAAAGTCATACAACAGCTTCAAGGAGGTGCATACAGTTTAAGGGATACATCAGGAAGACCACTTCCAAGATCATGGAATGCCGAGAATTTAAAAATATATTACAAGTAACTTGCTCTTCCAATTTTCAGTAGTCATGCCTACGTGTTACGGTTCACGTTTTCAGTTCTCAGGCCTGCGTGCCAAGTCTTATTTTTCGGTGGTCAGGCCTGCGTGCCAAGGTTCATGTTTTTAATTGCCAGGCCTGTGTGCCAAGTCTATTTTTAAAGTATAATAAGAATTAAGCTATTAATCAAAAAGTGATCTCGTTACTAAAAGTCTTGCCCTGAGCAAGCACTTAAAGCCCTATTCCGCGCAGGCACTACAAAGACGTGCTCCGCCCAGGCATTACAAAGACCTGCTCTATGCATGCATTGCAAAGACCTACTCTATGCAGGCATTGTCCGTGCAGGCATTACAAAGACCTGATCCATGCAGACACTACAAAGACCTGTTCCGTGTAGACACTACAAAGACCTGCTCCGCGCAGGCATTACAAACAGGCACTACAAAACCTTGCTCCACGCAAACACTCTAGGCCCTACTCCTCACCTCGAAGCCAATATAATGCTAAGTAAAAATCTCGACCACTCTGTATACCGAGCACCTTAAAACCCAACCTGCCCTCGAAATGGAGATCAAGTCCTCTGGGGTCTAACGTCCTCGGGACATGTTTATCGTCGGAATCCACAAGTCCCTATCCTAGGCCATCCCTTTGAAAAAGCATGCGTAAAACATATCCTCATTCCTCAAGGTTTAGCAAATTTTTAATCAACATAATGCTCGAGATCATCTTCAAGGCCAATTAAACTCTGACATTCCTCGAGTCGTGAAACACCCCGAGGACTTCCATATGCACAAACATCATAAATCTTAAAACAAGTGATCGAGGTATATCGGTCCTCGAGAATTAGTGATCGAGATCAAGCATATCATTCACAATAAAAAACAGGACAAAAGCTAGTCATTACATTACCTCGAGAAAAATACTTGGTTACATTTTCAAAAAGTGAAAACAGAGCAAAGGATCGGGGTGGGAGATGCCTAGCCTATGTGCCCTAAAGGGGGATTGAGGTTTGTAATATCGATCTCATCATCTGTATCCTCAGCCTCTTCCCCCTCCATGCCATCATCGTCCTCATCCGCTCCCCCATCATCAGACTTTGAGAGCTCGAGAGTATCAACAATGGAGGGCACTGTCTTCAGGTCCTCAGGGCTAACGTCGGGCAACCTTGCGCGAAGGAAAGCTCGAGCCTCCTTAAAAACATAAAGGTAGGCACCCGAGGTGTACTTGCCCTTGATTCTGTCACAGTCTTCGGACATATTAAATTCTTCCCAAGCTCGCTCCTTGGCCTCCGCTATCTTGTCCTCGAACTCTTTGGTCTTTTGCATCAGCTCAAGTTTGGCTTCCTCAGCCTCATCCTTCGCAGCCCTAACCTCATTCCTCAATTTCCTATTGTCCCTACAGACATTCTCGCGCTCCTTTAGCCAAGCCTCGTGCTCAGCCTCGAGCTCAGCAATCCTCTTGTCTTTAATTTTCGAGGACTCCGTAATATCAGCAATTCTCCTAGACTCCCCAAGACCTCTCTGGTTGAGTCCTCGAGCAACACTCAAAGTCTGCAAGCAATAAACCTCGAGCATTATGCACAGCAAACAAAAGAATTTAAAGTAAAAGTATCGAGGATGACCTTCATTGTAAGGAGCTCGAGGGCCTTGACGCCCTTAGCAAGTTCAACATCCTCTCGGTATTTTATGACCAGGCTCGGGACCAGGTGACACCTCTCAAACTCCTTAGTAATTGAAGCCACCATAGGAACGGTGTCGTCCTCAAGATCAACAACTTCGGAGGGCGCTCGAGGAGTGACCTTTGGAGTTGGAGACCTTTGGCTTTACTGGAACCTCGGGCTCGGTGGTTCCGGTTGAGGTTGTGATGTTTCACTAGGACCCCTCGCCATATGCTCAGATTGGGGGCCTCGAGGCCTCTTCTTGCTTTTCTTCTTCGTCTGGGGCTGGCCCTGAGGTTGGGCACCGACCTTAGAGTTTACAAAGTTACGCAATGCTCGAGGATCAAAAGACATTCCTGAAAGAAAAGAACAACACATTAGAACGAGCACAAGCTCGAGCTATTCCAAAAGAACATGGATAGTAGAGGTAAACCCTACCCTCGACATCTCTAACATCTGCCAGATCTATCACCTCTTCCCCGTTCTCTTTCATGCTTGAGAACAGAGGGTACATCTTCACCAGCATCCTCCTATCTCGCTCCAAATCGTCTGGATACTTCACCCTCACAAAACTTCTCGACATTGGGGATTTCCCACTCAGGCCAGAAAGGAAAATCAGGGTCTTGAGCTATGACATAGAACCAACCCGCTTGCCATCCCTTCAAGGAACTAGACATCCTCGAGACCCTAAACCCTCCTATGGCCGAATTATACCTAAAGCAGGTATATCTAGGGTGTTTCTTGAGCTCGAAAAATAACTTACAAAGGTCGACACAAGGGACGATGCCTAAATACCTACAAGCAATGAAGAAGTATACTACCATTCTCTAGGCGTTGAGCACTAATTGCTCGGGGCACATGGAGTGCTCGACGAGTAATGCAGTGAAAAAAGGATGTAATGGCCACCTAAACCCGACCTTAAGGGTCTTCCTAAAAATAACGAACTCCCCTTGTCGAGCCCTTACCATCCTATCCTCAGGGTCTGGACATCTAATGTCACAGTTAGGCATTAGCCCATGTTCCCTAGCCGCAGCTATTGCAAGGTGCTCTTTCAAGGTACAGACCTCGTCAGGGTACTCCAAGACGACATCGCCCGGGGACCTAGGTCTGGCATCCATAGGAATAGCTAATGGTACTAACACCCTTCCTGAGCCCTCATTAACCCCGAACTTTCAGAACGATAACTACCCTCACTACCCAACATTGCTTAAATAGTACTAGGAAAATAACTGAAGTCTCGAGCCTTACCTGAAGGATTCCCGACGCCTAGTTTATGATGCCTTCCCCGATCATGATCTTGTAAAACAGTTTTTCATAGTGAGTAAAAGTAAAAAATGAGAGGTAAATGAAGGTATTTATAGGGAGGGAATACGAAAGGCCAAAGATCGTTATCTTGAGCCATTCAAGATGCGACACGTGGCGCACATCCAAGCGCACCCCTCCATTGAGCGTGAGCTCTACGAAGGAGTGCACGGGGGCCAGTGATATTGCCAAGTTGGATACTCGAGGATTGGCATGTCTCGAGGACTTTGCAGGACCTTATAATTCCATTCTCAGGATCTAGTCATCGGGGTTTATATGGTCTTCGGGATGTTGTTCCCGAGGACTTTATTCTACCCTCTAAAGTCCATAAGTTCTCAAGGTTAAGTAATCGAGCACTATCCTTCCAGCCAAACTTTTCACCCGAGCCCATAATAAGTCTTACGTTCTAAGGACTTTAATGTGATTCACACATTTCAACCCAGGACTCCTACGTCCACAAAAACTCTATGTCAACAATAGTATCATTGGTCATGCAATTATATTACTAATAATATACTTCTCTTAGGCGAGACTCTATTAGATAAGAACGTCCAACTTATTCAATCCTATTAGGAGTGCACTACCTACCGCTATAAATACGGGACCCATGTCCATTATTCAGGTATGTTCTACATACACAATTTTCAGCATATATTCATCCTTGAATCCCTCTTCTGACTTAAGTATCGGAAAAAATGGAGAATGAAATAGATTTTAGAAATGATTGACAAGAATGGTGGAATTAAGGTTTGATCGCAAAATGGAGATGTGTGATGAGATGTAATTTGTATAGAGATTTGGGAGATTTGGAACTTTGGGGGAATTTAAATAATTTTCATTAATTCTAAGTTCGATAATGGCAAAATAAACATTAAAATTGTCATACATATTTTTTTTAGACAAGACTTGTCGTACATATTAAGTAAGAGGATATTATTGTATTCCGAATTACACGGACGTATCGGAATTAACAAGAGTGGCCTGGTGGGCGTCCAACTGACCCCCAAATTGATGCCAAAAGAATATTGTAATAATAAAAAATAAAAAAGAATGAAGTGTGAGAATAAATGTGGGATGAAGACAGTGGCAAGTACCAATAGATCATAATAGACAAAGACAAAAGCCAAATCTGATTCAACCACCACTTAGTCTACTGCCCAACCACCGTGCCGGGTTGCTCTTCGCCGCCACCTTGCAAGCCAGAAATCTCCTTCTTACTTGTCCACACACCACATAAATATGTTTATTTCTTGGTACTAGATTTTGTAATATATTCACACACAAAAAAAAAAAGAAAAAGAGAGAGAGAGAGAGAGAAAATATATGGAGCAAGGGAGAGGAGGACAGGGTGATGCGAATCAGCAGCAAGATCGCCGCCGTTTGCAGCCTCCTGATCAGGGTCAAGTGCATCAAAATCAACATCAACCGGAGCCTCCGCATCCGCCACTTCCACAAAAGTGCCCACGGTGTGATTCTGAGAACATCAAATTTTGCTATTATAACAATTACAGCCTCTCTCAACCCCGATACTATTGCAAGAGTTGCAGAAGGTACTGGACTCAGGGAGGAACCTTGAGAAATGTTCCCGTTGGCGGTGGATGCCGGAGGAAGGGTAAGCGACCCAAAACCTCAACGTCTTCAAGTGATAGTGAGAATTCAAGAACTCAACCTCTAACACTTCCACTTCCATCACAACAGCATGTGTCACAGAATTTAACTAATATGGCTGCTCTGATTTCGGGTAATTCTGGGGTATTACCCGGGAATCAATCCTCGAGGAGTTTGCCGGCGGTGATTTCACCAATAGGTTCTTTCTATTCTGGTGGTTCATTTTTGTCCATGCAACCGGTCAATTTGGGTGAACTCCCTGGCGGCCAACTTGGAGGTGCAAAAACGGCAGATTTCCCAGAATTAAATTATCCTTCAGCGGACTCTCAATCATCACAATTTCAACTGCAGAACGAATTAGTTCCAGTGCAAAGGACATTGGAATCTTGGACTCAAATCTTCGTCAACAACAGCGCCTCCTCTTCAGCCTCAAGCCCTAATTTCTGGAATAACACCACTTCCGGCAGCAACGAAGGTGGGCCTTCCATCAACCCAAATCTATGGCCTGATCAGTGATCACTGCTAAAACTTCTAGAAATTTTCTTCGCTCCTTCTGCTTACAGATTTCTTGTTTCTGGGTTTTATTATCTCCTTTTTGTAATTGAATATTGGGGTTTTCGGGTATATGATTTTGGTTTCACCGTGAAAACTTGAATAAATTATTTGTTTCCAACTTTGAATGGCATGGTAATCCAAAGTTGATCGACTTATTTTATTTGTCTTTTGCTATTATTCCTTCGATTCAAAAGACAGAATTATTTCCAGTTACTCGTACAAAAGTAAGAAACTTGCTTAATTAATTAAGATTTGTACGATGTAAAAAGCCTAAATATTAGACTGACATAATAACGTGCATGATTAGCAAAGTTGTAGCTAGAAATATTATTTGGAAAAATATTATGACAAGTATCAATTGACAATAAATTGTATGCCAGGTTTTTATTTAATGCTTTTATTCGTTCAATGTATTAATGAACAGGAAAAAAAAACACTAATACACGCTCTAATTAAGCTAGATAAAGAGGTATGTACTATTGATATGGATAAACTTCTTTGTGAAATTAACATCAAACTAGTTAAGTCCCATTTGCCCCTTGTAAAACTCATCAATTTAATTTGGAATAAACCGTTTGTATCGAGCGGGGGGTGTACCGAACGGTTTACACCCCCTCACAAACATGCGGGCCCCATGTGTTATTTAATAATTTGAATCGAGGTCCTACTCAAATGATGTGAGTAGTAGGTAAATGGTTAGGTAAATCATTATGTACGTATAGCACGGTCCATTTAATTAAAAATTTTCTCTCGTCTATTTTCAACCACACAATCTTTCATAAAATAATATTTCACACAAATCGAAAACTTTTCATTTCTTTACAATCATCCATTTTTCAAAAAAATATTATTCCTCCCATTATAAATTCAAATAATGCGCGCCAAACAGGGGCTAAGTAAAACTATTTTAAATTCATTAATGTTTTTGTACACATTCAAGTTGTTCCTTCAAGTTAGAAAGTTATGTATAATGTGCTATATATTTACATCTTCTGATCGCTTAATATATTCATGGTTTATTTCATAAAGTGATTTATATTAACAGTCCCCAATTTTTAGAAATAGATTTTGTATGATTTAAATGTTTTATTTTGATCTGATGTGTCATATAGCGTGATTGAGAAATTTTATGCCCGCGTTTATTAAGAATGGTAAAGTGATTTTGATCTATGAGGAGAATATTGTGGCCACCATAACCATTGCAAAAAGTCAAACCTAAACCACATTCATGATTAAACTATTTATTTTAATTTGAAAATATTAATTTACAGTCAGTTCTGTGTTTATTTTGAAATACCATATTTGAGCGAATGAAAGAAATATTTTTAAGAGGTTAAAAGTACAGAAAATAGAGAGACAAATTTACTCTATTCATGGAAGAAACTAAAATCAATTATATTCTATCAAACAAATATTTTGGTATCAAAGATTTAAAGTAAACAAATATCCTAAGTTCATGTTTCACTACTACTCATTTAGTGAAACTGTGCATGTGTCAAAGTTTGAATGAAGATATTCAATACAATATGTCCCTGTATGAGCCACATTTTTATCTCATTAAAATAAAAAATATGATCGTTATCCATCACATCAAGCCATCATTTTTGAATTTCTATTTCTGGTGTGGGGCTCATAACGGCTCTATTTCTCATTCTCATTCTCATTATAATGTGGCGCAAATAGGCTCTATATATATATTTGAATAGTATTTATGTGATCGTCTTTAAAAATTCAAATTATTAGATCAAAGGATTTAACACGTGCTTAACATGTTTCAAATCTACATTTATAGACCTTGAGGATAAATAACTGGCAAATCCAGCTTCCGGCATAAACACAGGCTAATACAACAAAAAAATAAAAATTTACACATAATTTTTTTTTACTAGATTATTATTATTTTTTTAAATGGGATTTGGGGTGGACGGACGGACTGACTGTAGCACTGGCATACCCGTCCCTGAATCCGCCCCTAGGATAAATGGTCACTCACTTTTGAGCCGTATACAAGTATTCTTGTTTTAGAGGAGTCAACTAAATATTCTCTACATTCTTTAGCCTTTTTCTAGTGTGATGTTTTTACCATTATTAAGAGCATCTTCAGTTTAACAATGTGCATTGTTATACAGCCCTTGTTTCGGTTTGGTTTTTCACCCTAAAAAATTAATTTTTTTAACAATTACTTTTCTAAGACAGCAATCATTTTTGATTTCTTCACTTACATGTGAGATCCATTTTCTCTCTATTGGTCATACCGAACAAGCCCATATATTTCACTTGGTGAAATAGAGGATGGAGAGAAGAGCATTTTCAATGAGACTATAAATTGCACTAATCATCCTTCACGGGCAGCTGGTGTGCTGGACATCCTTTACATTTTTTCTTAAAATGTGGTAAATATTTTGGAGTGATATGAGACACTTTCAATACAATTCACAGTCCATTGAAAATAGTATAACTTAACTGACACTTTCAACCCTAAGAAATCAAACGATGCTGCACGACCAAGACAAAGTAAATTAATCATGATATTATGTTGCACTTTACTTCTCCTTTGCCTTTTGTAAGGGATTGGTGACAAGTGCATGGAGGGAACTATCCAGTGTTTGCCTTTAACGCCACAACTAATGTATGCATGATTTTGACACTTCCCTATTATTATTCCATCGCATGCACTATATTGGGTCCCACGTCTCGGTTAGACGGACCGCCATTGGTCTTCAATTTAAACCATCATTTGGTCAATGGGTCTACTGTTTGAATAATTATGGGGGTTGGTTGTTTTTCATTGGCCAATCACAGAGAACGGTCTCACAGCACTTGGTTACTTTCTACTGTTTTTGTGCTATTAGGCGTGGGCAAAAATCAATCCAAACTGTTCAAATTGATCAATACAACCGAGATCGACTGGTTTGGATTGGTTATTAAGTTCATTGGATTGAAAAATTAAATTTGAAATTGGATTGGATTGGCTCAGGTTATGAATTAAACTTAATTCAACCAAATCCAACCCAATCGATGAATTAGAAATTTTAATACTAAAATGGAAAAAAAAAAAAATTACTTAGACATAATAGTGGATGCAAGAGAATGATTAAGAATGTACAAATGTCCCCTTTTTTATTTTTCTACATAGACTAATTGGTATGAATACAATGTACAAATGAAAAATAATATAACGACAAAATAAAAATTAAGGACGTGATAATGAAAAGAATAAATTCCAAAAAATTATAAAAAGAAAATGTTTCATAGTTTCAAACTTATCTATAAATTAATTTTTAGAAAGAATTCCTTATATAAGTTAAAAATAACGGAAAATTTCCAGTGGATTCAAACTTTAACAATTGTTCAAAGTAGAAATTACATAGAGCCATACTTCTAAAAGATTACATTTCAAAAATTATAATTATAGTACAATAATCAAATCACAATACAATATTTTGATATTAAATAATAATATTATAAAATTCAATTAATTATATACCCAAACCCACACTCTAATATTCATTTCCTTCCTCCTCCTCAATCCATTCTCCCTTTACTCTACCTCATTGCAATCGACGAGGCTTCTGTATGCAGTGTTGCACACAGAAGGCGCTCACGGTGTCAGTGAGGCTTCTTTGTTGTAGCATCGCCTGCAATGACATCATCGTCGCTACGTAGAGATGTTGCGCGCTGATGTGCCTCCCGCAGTCAATAGTTGTGACGGTGGTTTACATGTTTTGGTCGTGGTTTTTATTGGTGGAGATAGTGAATCTGGCGGTGGAGGTGGATTTCATTGGATCTATGGTGGATTTAGAAGGACGGATTTGACAGTGGCATTATTGGATTTGGTGGTGGCGGTTGTGATTTCATTAGACATGGCAATATTTTTGTAGATATAACCAGTGGTAGTGTTGGTGCCCAGTGGCAGATTTGGGGATTTGTTTTGTAGGATTTGTGGATGTGGAGTGGTAGGTTGGTGGTGGCAGCGATGACGATGTAACTGTATCGTTGGTGGTGGTGATGAGGAGCCGGGGTTGGGAATGGAGAGTGTTTGTGATCAATTATTTGGTTAATTATAACCATAAATAATTTGTGGCCAATAATTTGATTGATAATTTGCAATCAATAAATAATACGTGATCTAAAAAATATGATTGTGATTCACAATTTACTAAGTTGTGATCGATTCATTTGATAATTTGTGATCGTTAAATAAGTTGTAACTTATAAAATTTGTGAATTTGTGATTGATGAATAAATTGTGACCTATAAAATCTTGATTTGTGACCTATAAATTTTTCGATCTATTATAAAGAAAAACCTATAAAATTTTTGATTTATGACCTTGAAAATAATTTGTAACCAATTAATTCGATAATTTGTGACCAAATTGTATAGATTTGTGGTCTTAATATATTTAATTAACAAAAAAATTTTAATTAATAATTTCATAAATAAAATTTAACAATATTTGATTTTTAAAATTTTAAACCTTATTTCTTAGTGTTGAAATGGGTTATAGTTAAACTCTTTAAAAAAAAAATTTCCCTTGTTTAAATTCAAGAAAAAATAACATGATCCAACTTAAATTGGGCCCAAGCCCAAGCTGCAACCTAACCCAAACTTGATTGGTTTGGGTTGAATTGGAAATTAATTAAGGATTATGTAACTTGTATATAAAAATTGTACATAAGTGATTACATAAAATGGCATGGAGTGAAAAGATTAAATGAAAAAGTTGATTGTATTTTAAATTGAAATATGATAGAGTGATATGTAACATCATATAATCCATTATATAGAATTTGATGTACATGTAGCAAAATTTTTTAACTAATAATTGAGTTGGGTTGGGTTGGTTTGGTTTGATTAGAAACGTGCTAGGTGTATAGCACTTTGTATACCTTATTTGACAACCCTCTCATATGGAGGGGGGTGGGGGCCGTGATTAAAATAATCGTGGAGCCCACCCAACTGAGTAGGAGTGTGCATTTTTCTCAAAATCGGTGGAATTGGATCGGAACCGTTTAAAACCGATCGGTTCGATTCCAAATCTTCTAAACAACGATTTGATTTTGGAACAAATTATTAAGAACCAATTGGTTCTGGGTTCTAGTATGGGAACCGGATGGTTCTCATAGGATTTTTAATTTTTTTGGTAAAATATATGACTCAATCTCCAATCACTTTTATAAAAAATAATCGGGTCCCTTCTTCATTTTAGACTCCAGCACTTTTTTCTCTCCTCTTATAATTCTTTGATTAATTAATTCTCAAGCCAAATTAGAACATTGAGTAAATCTATACCTAATAAATTTATTTACAATATAAATTTAATTTCTAAGATGCGAAATTTATATTTTGTTTTCACTTTGATTAAATAGTTGTTGATCCGATCGAAACTTTTCATCTAGATTTCTACAAATTATAATCGACAAAACCAAAAGTTGCAATAAATTTTTAAAGGGTGTCCAATTTAATGTATGATTTTGATTTTGATGGAAGTTTGTTTAATCTTTAGAGTGCTATGCAGTTTATATAAGTTGATGATTGCTAGATAATAGTAACTTATATTATTTGGATATTGTTTTTAAATTTGTATACTTTGTTTTCTTTTAATCTTTGAATAGTATGTTCGGTTCTTCAATATTTTGTTAAAAGTATCACGTTGGTAACATTTTAGATTTTTTATTAGTGAATATTTTATTTTAACATTTTCAATGTAAAGAACGGACCGAACCGGAACCAATTGATTCGGTTTCGGTTTCGGTTTTGGTTCGGTTCCATAGCTAATTATGGAACCCATGGTTCCATTTCAAAAATTCTCATTGGTATTCGGTTCGATTCGATTCCCTTTGAAACTAGACCGAACCGAATCGTGCTCACTCCTACATCTGAGAGAACTGCCAAACTAAGTGTACAACATTTGCTCTACACTTAGCATTTTCCGTTTGATTAGCCCAACTCACACCTAGCCCTATGTGCTATGCCTATAATTGAGTGTACATGTTCACGAGTCATTCTAATAATTTTGTTGAATTAATTTTTACTCTAAAGCTTAGAGATGAGATGAGTAACTTTGCACTGGGTTTTATAATATGTAATCTTCATCTTCACCCATCAATATTTTATTTGTGTTTACCATGGTCAGAAGATTTTCTTAAGAAAGTTGTGAAATAATTAGTCCTCATGGTCAAACTATACTGTACTTAAGTTAGAGTTTACATATTATTACCTTAGATTGAACTCTAAAAGAGAGTCGAATATTTCCATATAACATAATCATTTAGGTTTTTAATTGTCTTTAATTTCACAGATCATTTTCTGATTTTCACTTGTTTGTCTGGGCTGTGGATACTTTGTTGGGCTGGCTATCTCAGAATTAGAAAACAAGACAACCCATCATTTACCTTCCAAATGTGCCTCACAGTTGAGCTGGGAAAAAACAATAGCAATAAAATGTAATCTAAACCACCCCATATAAAATTGGTTATGTTAAAGACAGACAAATTTATATAAATGTTTCTTCAACAAGCCTATCAATTGAAAGGCATTTGATTTTTTATTTTTTATTTTTTATTTTTTTCTGTCAAATACATGCAAAATTTTAATAAATAAATGAATTCAAAAATTTTGTGTATTCTCAGTTTGCTTGGAGAAGGGTGAACAATAACGCAATTCATAGATAAAGTTACAATGAGGACTGAAAAATTTTCTTTGCTATATATTGTGTTTGGACTTCGGATCCTATTTTCATCCATCAAATCTTCTTGTTCAAAAATTAAATTTTTTATGAAGTGAATAAATTTATTAATTAAAATGAAAAATATGACCATTATCCATCACATCAAGCCACCAAATTTGAATTTCTATCTCTTGTGTGGGGTTTGTAACGACTACATTTTTTATTTTCATTTTTCCAAAAATGAGAAACAAACAGGGGCTAAAACTGTGCCTGACACATTGTGTTGTGCTAACTTAACTGAGAGGCAACTGGCTAGCCGCATTGACAAATATCAGCCTGTCATGTTCATAAACTTTGTAGTTAAGAATGAAAGAAGAAAGGAATCTCCACTTACAAAATGATTTGATAGCATGTATTAAATGGAAGAAATGGAGAATAAATTTTCATACTGTACTTAGGTTGAATAGTGGCAAATGTTTTTTACTAGTATACTGTTTTGGTAAGAATTAAATTTATATCTCATTAAAATTTTGTTAAATATGTCATTCAATCTTGCAAAACGATTGTAGTACCTTTCATTAATGTTCTGTAGACAAATATAGGCAAAGTTGATGCGTACGACTGAAGTATCTAAATCGACTAAAAACTCTAGCTATTTTTTCCAGTTTGACGATAGTGCCTAGATAATTCAAAATTATTACGAAAAAAGAGAGGAAATTTAACTAGTATTTTTGAAGAAAGAATATATGGCTTGGTTGTTCAAAAAATAATTGAACTTTCATTGAAACTACAGAAACTCATTAAATTTTAAATTTTGAAATAAAACTGAACTTTGTTGAGATGCTTTATATTCATTACTTGTAAAGATATCGCAGGTGGTTTGGATGTAACTACATTCGTGACAGAGAGAATACAGTGGCACAAATTTTCACATAATTCTCCCAACTAGTGAGGAATTGATAGCATTTTGACAAAGTTCAATAACGTTTCAGCAATATTTTTGAAGTTTAGTGAGGTTTTCATCGCGCGAATCAAAGTTCAATTAATTTTGAATAATAACTGTTCCATCTCATTTGCTTTCGGATATGTGAGATTCATAAATAGTAATAGTTGTAAATGTATTATTAAAATTAATATCTTGACTTTCTTTAAATAGAAAAGATAACTTTTTAATAACCTCTAATGTTTGATAAATTGGGACATTCTGTCTAAAAACTTTGCTATTTGTACACTGATTTTTGACACTTTGGTTAACACTTGCATTGTTATCAAATGTCAATTGAATGAAAAAACTGTTTGAAATTTAAACTGTCCAATAGAATAATGATACGTGACAAAGTGTAAATTAAAGAATACACTATAGTGTATATATAGCAAGGTTCTCTGTCTAATACCGTTTAGTTTGGTGTATAACAAATAAGTCTTTAACATAGCTTGACTTTGCACGTTGAGGGCGAAAATTTTTTAGGAGCAAAAGTATTACATATATAAAAATTTAAATTTCTGTATAGCATAGAAAGAAATCAACAATATGCAACTTTGGCTAGCATATAGTGTGCATGTACAAAAGAAGTCAATAATATTGCAACATCAATATTGCAAAATTCTTGTCATGTATGAATTTCGTGTTATTAATTAATATTCACATTAATCTAAATTCAATGAATTTTGAATTGACGAATCTTGATCTACATGAATATAAAGTTATTATAGATAAATTATTTCTATTTATATATATAGAAATTTTAATGGGTGTTCAAATTTATGTATTAACAATTAATTTTTATGCACCAAATGTGATTTAAATAGTGCTCTTTATAGAATTTCATCATTACAAAAAATTTGAATCATAAAAGTTGATTTTTGAGAGTACAATTTTTTTCTCTTAAATTTTTATCCTAAATTTTATTTTCTTTAGTTCGTTTGAGACCCAACAAATTGATATCAAATTTTACATTTAAAATACTTATAAAATATTTCAAAATAATTCAACTCTGATTAGTTAATGTAAATGTCGTAAAATTATGCAGTTAATGTTAACAAAGAAATCACCACAACAAGCTTAAAAAACTGCATATATCTTTGCCAAACTTTCTTAAGAATTATCACCAAGATGAATAAAATTTCATGTTAACAAGATTTAGGCATGAATAACCAAATAAACTTTGAGCCCAGTAACCAAAAATACAACAACATTAATTTATCTCCATCACTTCTATACCAATATACCCAAATCCCTCTCCCCTATGCTAAAAGTACAACAACAACCAAAAAGAAAGAAAGGTGATTCCTCTTTTGAGACTAATCTTTTACTTAAAAATCCCAGCCAAAAACCTAATGCACATATCCTCAAAATATTTCAAGAAAAGCATTGTCATGGATAAATATATACATACATATAGATATAAAATCGACTAAGTACTGGAAAAGGAAATTTCATCCAGCTAACCTTCAAATGACAATGTTGATGATGAAACCTTTGTAGATGAAATGAAGATCTGGATCCGAGGTTCCTCTCAGCGCAAATGGATTATTCTCAACCTTTATAGTTAAAATGAATAGGCTGAATCTTCTTGCAACTGACATGATCGCTCGATCCAAACTCCTTTCATCAATTTCTCCAAACTGAAATTTGCTGTTCTTTTTTGGTAGTTTTTTAGACCAAAGGAAATAAAAACTTATTCACCTTAAAAGACTTAAAAGTTAATGAAAAGAGGGAAATCAATCAAGGAAGAAAAAGAAGTTTATGATGAAGATAGACGCGCGGATCAGTTACCACTTTTGATTTTCAAATTCTTCAGTATTCTCAGAATCAACGAGTTTTTGGTGCGTTGTTTGATTATTTCTGCACTTTGGGTTCATCAACTCTGCTACATAAGGGAAGAAACGGAAGAACCCATGTTTGAAGGGTCAAGCCAAGCACCAATACCAGTTGTGTTCCATAAAAGAGAAGGATCGGAGGAATTTATTTGTTCAATCTGGTCTTGATTAGAAGTATTCCAATTATACAAGCTGTTTTGAGTCCCTTCCGGTTTCACTTCTTTGACAATTGTGCTGTTTCCACCATTTCCAGGCATTTGCAGATCTTCATACGATATCAACCCTTGCAGATTGTCTGCTGCTCCTAGCGTATGATCCTTTAAACCACCTGAATTAATAAATTTTGGCTGATGAAAGGTTGAAGTGAAAGTTGAAGAACCAAAGATAGGATTGCTAGAAAGAATTGGACTTGATGGTGGAATAACAGCTTGGATTTGCTTGAATCCGTTCTTGTAGTCATTGCTGTGAACATTATTAACAAAAAGTCCAGATGAAAACCCTAAGCCAAGAGCATTAACCTGAGATTGAAGATTAAATCCAGAAACTGTGTTTGAAAAAGTGCTGGAATAGGGAAGATTGAGCTCAATACGATTAGAGGGTAGATTATAAAACAAAGGATTCATATGATTATTTGAGTTTGAAGGAAGATCTATCTGTGTTTGAACTTGAGCACTAGGGTTTGCAGTTGGAGCTGTAGAGGTAGTTGCATCACCGGCAGAGGCTGGCTTCTTTACCCTCTTGTTCTTCCGGCAGCCACCGCCTACCGGAACATTTCTTAGGGTTCCACCGCGTGTCCAATAACGTTTACAAGCTTTACAGAAGTGTCTTGGTTGAGACAAACTGTAGTTATTATAGTAACAAAACTTGGTATTTGTCGAATCACAACGAGGACAATTGAGTGGCTGCTGCTGCTGCTGCTGCTGATCTTGATTTGGTTTCTCCATAACCGTACCAGTTGAAGCCATCAATTTTTTTCGCTCATCTATCTGATTCTGCACCTAGGAGAAAAAAACAAAGAAAAAGGAAAGAAGAGAGTTGAATACGTTGTTTCTAGGTTAAAAACAACAACACAACAGGGATATTCTTCGCCAAATGCTAAGAAACAAAAAATGTGTCATAGTTTATCTAATAATATAGAAAGAGATGAACCTGTTGCCATTCATTTGTAGTTGAAGAGATGACCATCATCTTCTCGCAGTTTCCTAGCATTTCTTCACTCCTCAAAGGAATCGCTTCAAAACAAAGAGTAAGCAGCCAAAGAACAGGTGACGACGTGAGTAGTCTTGTGGACGAGGTTGAAATGTTTTAGAGAGAGAGAGAGTGAGTGATTAGATAGGGAATTAAGTCATTGTTTAATTCTAATTTCACGTGAAGGATCTGGCCTAAAATGAATTTAGATCGATTGTCTTTTGTCTTTTGAATCTTCGTTGTATTTTATTCTAATGTATGGAAACATACTCCCTAAAATTAAACTACTAAATAGTTTATATTTTGTCTTCGACACGCTTCTTAGGTTCATGTAAACTCTGTTTAAATCAAAAACATGACATAAATACATACAATTTAAGTTTTTAAATGAGACGATTAATAAGAGTTAGAGTCAGTGATAGATTAAGATCAAATCTTATTGTATTATTTCACAAAAATTGTCCTTAATCAAACCTTTAAACAGTATGCAGAGAAAGAAATGTGTTAGAAGATAGATTTAAATGAAATCATAACTTTTTTTTTTTAAATAATAGTCTATTAGCTTGCAAGGTTAAAAGTAAAACATAATTCTTTAGTAAATTTGGCTTTGGACGCCAGTTTAAACTTAAATAATAAAGTACTGGAGAGACATTCTTGGTCCAAGAAGAGGACAGAAAGATAAAGGGGCATAATGCAGATGAATCTCGAGAAGTTCAAGAAAGAGGAGAATTTACATTGAACCCAACATCCACTAACTACGCAGAACATAGATTACTTGTTATATCGATACAGATAGAAGATAGACAGAGGGAATCCCTAGAACTCGAAACCCGAGGCATAAACACAAAATCCCACTTCCAATTTCTCATACTTTACTACTAAATTATTTAATTGCAACTATGTGGAATATTATAATTATGTACCTTATATACTCAATGGCCCAACAAATAATTGTAGGGTGCAACCATACACAACACAAAAAATTCTAACGTTATTTCTAGATCAGTCTATTACAGGCTGTCCTCCAATTGTGCAAGAATATAAATTTATCTTTTTTTTTTTTTGGATACTCAGGTATCCCATCTTCGCCAGACTAAATCCTGGACCTCAAGCCTCCGGTCCCTCATTAGCTTGAGGAAGTTAATCGCGGATTGTGCCCTTATTGGCTCCCAGGTTCCTGCATGACTTTTACTCCTTCCCCAAAGAGAGCCCTCTCCACTGCCTTCCAGCACATTACTTTCGAGATAAATCCCCCTTCCAAAATGCTGCTTTCGAGATAAATTTATCTTTCGATTGAACACACATTTAAGAGAGAGACACATAGGTTGATGAGGGGCATAAATGAATTTCAAATACAGTCGAAACTAGCCCTTTTTTTTTCTTTTTTCTTTTTTTGTGTAATGATTTGAAAATAAAAACAACAGAAAATATCCCCTCGTTAAGGGAAATTCTGAACAAGTGATTCCATCTTGACAACTAAATTGTAGTCTGTAGACATATATTCTCATTTTAATATGAAAATACATTTATTTATCCTTATTCTCATCTTTTACATTTATTTTACGAGCTTTATCGTGTAATTAACAACTCAACTTTTAGTCCATCAAACTAACTAGGTCTACTCATTCCG